TGAGTCGTATACTTATGGAAGGAGAGTAATTGTGGAGACTAGAAATAATTCATCAGAAAAAATTAGTAAGTGCTTCAAAATGTTTGCAAAGGATGTTGTTACGCTTGCAGAAATTTGACTTGGAAGTACAGTGCAAACCTGGACCAACAATGTTTATGGCTGATGCTCTCAGCAGAGCGTACCTAAACCGTTCAGAAAAGGAACGAGAGGTAGAATATGTCAACGTGAGTTTATCTATTACAGAAGTCAGATATGAGACACTAAGGAAAGCGTCAGAAAGTGATAGACACAGAGACAGTTGAAACCAGTGATTCAACGAGGCTGGCTGGAGACAAAATATACTTAACCTGACTCTCTTTTTGTGTACTACACATTTAGAGAGGAACTTACTGTTAACAATCGTCTAATACTCAAAGGAGATAGAATAGTGGTGCCTGAAAGTAAAAGGGACAATTTGACAGAGATCGCACTCTTACATCTAGGAATTCATGGTTGTATTAGACAGATGTGCGAATCTGGGTATTGGCCAGGCATGTATAAAGATGTCGAAGAGTACATTGGGAAAATGTGAGACATGTAATTCCTACGGTACAGACCAATGGAAAGAACCTTAATCAGTCATGAAATACCCAGATGTCCATGGGCTAAACTATGATGTGATTTGTTTTACCGCAACAACAAAGCCTATCTGGTCACTGTGGATTATTATTCGGATTATTTCGAAGTCGACAGGCTTTTAGACAAGACTGCATATGCAATAATCAAAACGTTAAAATCACATTTCGTGAGGCATGGAATTCCAGAAACCGTTGTTTCAGACAACGGATCACCGTTTAAAAGTTATGATTTCGACCAGTTTGCAAAATGTATGATTTCGAACATGTCACCAGTTCACCTGCCTACCCTCAATCCAATGGGAAAGTGGAAAATGCATTGAAAACCTCCAACATGATCATGGAGAAGTCTCTCCTTGATGAAAAAGACCCATATCTTGCTTTACTTCATTGGAGGAATACACTCAAGGAAGGGGTAGAATATCCACGGATCACAGATGTTATTTGGACGAAGGACTAAGACTTTGGTTCCAACTTCAGCAATCCTGTTGAAACCACAAACTCCTAAAGACGTAAAACACAAAATTACACAAAGAAAAGAAAAACTACAAATAAACTACGATCAGGGAGTAAAGGAGTACACTGAAAGGAGGAGATGTAGTGAGGATAAACCCTACAGGAAGGTCAAATGTGTGGAGGAAAGGGATAATCCTCGATCAGACAGATATCAGATCATATGTCAGAACTGAGGACGGAAGAGAATATAGGCGTAATCGAAGACACCTACGGAAAAGCAAAGACACATGGAAGGAGGAAGTATCTGAAGGTCCTATTTGTGACAGTCCTATTATAATAGATCAAATCACTGCTTCACCGGAAAGGAGCAGTGATCAGTCAACAATTGTAGCTCCAACACAGGAACAAAATGTGAAGGAGACATCTGAGTGTAAATGTCCATCCCATATTCCGATCCGTGTCAAGAATCACATAGTATAAGAGGAAGTCTAATAAGAAATGGACATGGTTATTTTAGATGTGGACAGTTCTCGTATCTTTAACATTCGAGAATTATTATTAAGTGGCCAAACAATAACCTCCACACGAACTTTGCGAATGTAAACACTTCATTTCTTGTGAAAGGACTGGGCGAAATTACAAAAAATGTACTTGTAGAAAAAGGGGTGTGTATCGTAATATGGTTCGTTTGACGCACTAGCGAATACAGTAAAACACGTTTTTAACGAACACGCTTACAACGAATAAATGGTTATAACGTAGTGTTTTTCATTCCCCGTCAATCGTCCTTTCATTTAATAGTAAAATCAAAATATATAACGAATTTCACATAACGAATTAATGTCTATAACATAGCAGCTTTTGGGTCCGCTCAGGTGAATATCAGTGCTAATTAATAACCATATAACGTAGTGGCATCGGGCAGTCGTCACACCTGAGTGAAGTCCGCCGTTTGTCCAAGATGTATCGTAGAAGAATGTACTTTTAATACTTTGTTTTCTTACGATATTCATGTAGCTATACATTGTACTAGTTCAGCCATGTTGGTACCATATTTCATACTATACAGTGTCTCATAAGCCTTAATAGGCTGGGTGTCCATTTCATAAATGTCGTTAATTTTAGATACTATTTGTTTTATTTTATATGTGATGTGAATTGACATGTGACACTTCTTAATAAAATATTATTGTATTGTATCGACACCCGTGTCCAGGTAAGTGTCAATTACCTACAGGTAAGATTGACGAATAAAGTGAGTTGTTGTAATACGTACCTGCGTTCTATTGTTTTTTGAGTTTTGAGTTATGGAACTGATCTTATCCATATAAAATATTTGCTTTCTGTTCTGTCGTCGCCGTCTCGTAAGCGGAATGCGTTAACAACACTGGGTACAATTGACATGTACTTGTGTCGGGTACATTGTTTTGACGTCACAATGAAAATAAGGCAGATCTTCATAAACACTGGTTTATGTGTCTGTAACCAGACTGTGATCAAGACAAGAGAAACACCTGTTGTATATGTAGTCATATGAACACTTGACATGAATGTATGTATATGTGTAGTCATAGAAACACCTGACCTGTATGCGAACAGATGTATATCCATATGAACACCTACGCGACCGTTCGTCATCAAAGTAGATGTTCCATTTGACGAAGTAAATTGTCGATAATGTTACACCCATATTTGATGTTAGATGTTAGCAATACTTTTTGTGGCAGTTATGGTAGTTATGCATGGAAGAATTTTGCAAGCAATTGGTATATTTCAAAATAGTTACTTACGTATGTAACCAGGGTTTAAAATCACCAGGTGGTGAGCTCTTTAATTCCTAAAATAGACAATATGGATATAAATACAGACACTGTGTATGGTGCCGTGAGAGACGTTTCTCTTTCTCGATCATCTGCACTCCATGACAGGCACAGATTTTTACACTTAAGTATATAACAATTTCTTACTAAAGATATCAAGATGTGAATTAAAAGTGATGTCAAATGAAACACGAAACGTTTAACATAAAGCTAAAGAGATTGAAAAGTAAGAGTTTCATTTTCGACCATCCCCGACATTCTTCCTTCCCCTGCGATGTACAAATGTGCTGTTGTAGCGAGGGACGGTGATGAAGACTTGAACTAGAGTGTTGATATACTGTGTGTGTAGATTGTAGTGCACTGTATTGATTAAATGTCCTATAAAGCGACGATGGACTGTTTTTACTTCCGGACACACTGCGTTCTCACTAAGAAATAATTTATTTCCTTATTGATCTCATGAAATTTAAATGGAGTGACGTATACACAACCAATTTGTTAACAAGATGATTCAAGGAAATATACAGTGTAGTTTTAGTGACATTTGTTAACAAGATGATTCAAGGACATGTACAATGTAGTTCTAGTCACCTTTGTTAACAAGATGATTCAATCTACAGTTTAGGCATGGAAGTTGTACCTGAACCTTCAATTACAGCTCGTTTTCTTACAAAACATGAAAACATTTAGCTTGGTTGCGTGCATATTCAGGATTGAAAGGAACGAAACCATCGAACCAGAATGAACGTTTTTTAACGTTATCTGATCCCAACAATTCCGTGATTTGTTAAGACTAGCGCTTGTACAATCTTTTCTTTAACAGAGAAAAATTCCCAGTGGTGCCTTTTTCATATGATTATTTATTCTTAATATAATCATATTGATGTAGTCTGTAGCTTTATACATCGTTTCTTGTAGCGTATCAAAAACATGAAGGGTATTGTGCACGTGTACGGAACGACGTGAGTACAAATGCATTGATTGGATATGTTATTGTTTGGATGAATAAACAAAAAAAAAGAAGAAAGTAGAATTAAAGTTATTTGTTTATTTACTGCCATTTCAAAACACAGATAAAATTGCGCTGCTTGCATGCTATCGTAGCCCTACTTCGTACAGCCGTAATCAACAGGAAACTGATATCGTCAACCTTATTAATACACTTCGTTTGAGTCGAAATTCGGATAAGTCGAAATATTTTTCACAGTCCTTGATTTTAATAAGCCTATTGTGTTTAAATTCATTCAGTTACTCAAAGTCGAAAATATAAAAGAACTTAATAATTAAGGAAAGTCGGCAAAAGAAAAAGAATAATGATAAAAATTATTAAGAATTTAATTTTCGTGGTTTTCTCCAAAAATATTTTACCAACATTATAAATGATGTGTATGAGTGTCTTTGTCATTTTAACTTTTATTCATCAAATAAGTTGAAATCGAAACTATAGCTAGCCGACGGGGTGTGATTTCCGGGACCCCCCGGTTTCCTCCCACAGTAAGAACCCTCGCGCGCTTTCATCTTGGCCAACAAGAGTGATTAGTATAAATTGAAATAATTTGTTTAGCAATAGTTGTAAAATAAATATTTTGTATAAATGTATTTACGTGATGTCATTTCAAAGCTTGTCGCTTTCATGGAGCTCGTATAAAATGGAATTCGGACGGATACTGGCTGACATTTCTAGATTTTTTTATCTAACCAAGCAAACAGCACAGTTTGGTGGGAACACCAGATCAAATGTGTGCACGGAAATAACATTACTAATTCATAAATAATTAAAGATTAATGAATGTCTGGGGATAATCATATGATCTAATTATACGCCGAATGCCAACGTTACGTGTTCGATACTGACAGTAAGATGTGTTCTGCTAACTAGCAGGAACGGACAACTGATGCAGACTGATTTTGCAATTTTTGTTTATGCGATTCTGATAAGGCCGCAAAACTAGCAAGAATTAGTAAAGCACAAAAAATAGACTCTATATGGTTTATCACTATATCGACCAAGTGATCAACAAGTGCAAATGTCGGAGCATGATTATGTTTTGATTGAAGTATAAACAGAATATTTTTGTGGTGTATAAGTTTATGTTTTGATGTTTTTCAGATTTTGCTCAGAAGATTCATTGTGCCTTCCCCACGTGACATACACCAGACCTTCATATTGCGAATGCCCTATCGCCTGGTTCAAGCTTTATCGTACGTGTCTGTAACAAATTGAAGTGTTTTTAGTCTGTGATCCGATGATGTTTGCAATGCCGAAAAAGACCGTTAGATACCTGATTCTACTGGTTCTTCTTTGTCTGTTACTGTTTCTAATTCTACATAAGCGCAATGGTGCGACATCATCACTTTCAGAATATGGATACGAAGCGCCGACTGTTAAAAAGTTTACTGGAACAAATCTAGTTGAAGAAATAAATGAAAGATTGATTCGTCCGCTCAAAGGAGCCAAATTTAGTGCTGTTGTTACACAGTTCTTGAAGGGGCAGGGCAAAACACCCGTGGGAACAGAAATCCAGACACTTGCTGCCAGTTCCATAAAGCAAAGGGACATATCATTAACGTCAAAAGAAGAAGAAATATTTCGGAAATGCAAGCGTACGGCAGCTGCTGACAGGAATAGGAACATGCCAATGTTCTTTGGTGGAAAAACCCAAGAAATTCGTCGCACACACCATTCATATTTGAACGAAAACTCTTTATTAATGGAAATAGGCGGGAATTGGGGCTGGGATGCCGGTAACTTCTCAAAACTCTTTAATCCAAGGTATATTATTCTGGAACCACTCCAACCGTACGTCGACATATTAGAGAAGAAATTCGAGAATAAAACTAATGTTAACGTGTATAATTTAGGTCTAGGGGGAAAGAACGAATCCATATTGGTTAAGATTGAAGGAAATAACGCGTGCGCCACATCGAAATTTTCTGGGAAGACAGATGGAAATGTTCGTATTTACATAATTGAAGCCACCTCATTTATGACGGGGCTTGGAGTTGGGGTATTTGACGTCGATCTCCTAACTATGAACTGTGAAGGATGCGAGTTTGAGGCTTTAGAGAATCTACTCAGCTCTAATATCATCGAGAAATTCAAGAACATTCAGTGGGGCACTCATAGTTTACTAAAGGGAATGAAAGATCCTGAAGAACGCTACTGTAGGATGACGACTCTCTTAGCCAGGACACATCGACCCACTTATCGGTATAATCTGATTTGGGAGAGCTGGCGACGAAATGATCTCGCCTAAACAAAGATTCACCGAAGTCAGACTAGGTAAACAAGGAATTCAGATGGTTCGCTTCGAACAGGAAACTTTGGAGACATTTTTAAAAATTCCACTGTGTTACTCTTAACACCAGTCCATATAAGTAATATAATGAACGAGTGGTACATTAAATAAACAGCTGTGAAAATGAGGAAGCATTATTAATTTCAAATCTAATTATCTCCAGACATTTTATAGTGGTGTGTTGTCATATCCTATATTGCCTGACGTTCATTCCAAGGATGTACAATTTTGTGAATTGTCGCTCACATTCCTTACACATAGATAGTTCTAAGAGCAGGCCAATGCTATTTTCGACACCTCTGGAATGTCCAGCGTATCAGCTTAATTACCATAACGCACCGAAAAGATGAAAAAGAAGGAAAGGCTGTTGAATCTTATCTTATCAATATATGTCTTTGTATAGATGATGTAAGTTAAATATCAAATCTCGTGTTTCTTATTTTTATGTTTATTTCGAGATCCAAGGTAATGTGAATGTAACTCAAAATTACCCAAACTTGGTGTCTTTAGCAACGATTTACACAATCTAAATTTTGCCTAACTTTGGGATGGTGGGCTAATTAAATCACCCTACGACCGTGATCTGTGATCCGTCCGTGAACAATATATGTTATCACTATTTCCTATGAAGTACAGAATTTATCTCTCAACTTTCTTACATAGGTTTCCCGTTGTCCCTAGTTATGTGAATGAATTTTGGACCAGAATAAGAAAACGGCTGAAATGTTCTATTTTTTTAGAGGAAGTTTAAGATTGCATATAATAAAGAGCAAAGAAAGAGAAAAGAAAAGAAGAGAAAAGATCTAACTTTTAAAGATTAAATATTGGTGGGCGTCAGTATGCCTCTGGAATCTCTAGTGTTTATTTTGTAAATCATATTACGGTTTATGTTGTAATATATCCATGATAATATAAAAGAACATATAGCTAGCCAAAGATCAGTATTTCTGAAGTAGTGCACGTTTTATACGTGTGCGTGTTCTCGTTTATGTAATCATAGAGAAGAACCTTTCCGTGTGCTATGTATTCAATATCAAGATAAGTTTTTACTCACTCATTATTTTCATTATAATTATTATCGATTTGTGTTTTTTTACTTATGTAATCAGAGGCTTTTATCCTGCTATGATGTAAAATACGACGCACATTAAAAAATATAGTATATTATTTTACATAACTATTGTCCTCTAATTTATATGTGATGTTTGATAAGGTGGATATTTTATGTTCTATCGTCATAAATAAATAAAATTTAATTCATGAAATAAATACATTTGTGTTAGATGGTTACTTTATATATTCATGTATATATATATATATATATGTATAATTGTCATAATCCTACAGATGTTCTTCACATTATAATGTTATGTAAGTTGGCTCTTGCATGATTTTGTTATTTGTAATAAGAACTTGAACACCTGGTGACCATCTGTTACCCTATGTAATTTGTATCTCTTGTTATTTGGATGTATGTGTGCGCACGTGTTAGCTAAGAGGGCCGAGTAGGGCAACTCGCTATGCGGTCACGGTTTTAGCTTGACCAGTCAGAGGGGCTGTTCACGTGACCAGCGGCAGTAGCCTTGATGCGAGGCGGTCAGGGCCTGGATTGACCAATCAGCGAGGCGCGCACCTCTTCGTGGTTTTGACCGCGTCATATCTTCATCACTCCTCATAATTTTTCTGTTGATGTGATTACGTTTAATATCTTTCGAAGTCCCACCCAAACCACACTCCCACATTTTGTCTTGAGCCAGCTTATATATCCATGTTTTTGTTTTTTTTTAATTCAAACTTATTTGTGTATGCCGATAATTTGTACCCCATCTTTTTGTTGTACATATAGACTGAAGTTAATGTCATTCAGATCTATATATCATATAACAACAGTGATTAATATCATGGTTGTATTTGAAATGTTCCTGTCATTTAATAAATGACCATTTGACAACATTTCTTTTCCCTGTTGTTTTTTTGTTTTGTTTATAAGACATGTACAACAAATAACAAGCTGCAGTCTCTGAGCTGGGTTACCATGCTAACACAAATGAATGTGATGTCATTCGATTAGCGTCAGTGCACAATCGAGCTCTTATTGGTGTTGTATAGGCTGTATCACGATTTGTCCACCTTTGAAAAATAGCACGGGCAGCGAAATGTCAGTAATCGGATTATAGTCTATTCAGATGAATTTACCTGTGGTTTACTTGTGGTTACCTGTGCCATCTATCCAATGTTGGAAACTGATATCATATCGAACGATAGAAATTTCATTTAAGTGTTCAATAAATTAAGATTTATATCGGCAACAGTCCTGTTGAGAAATCCTCAATCATATCAAAATGTGAGAACAGACACAATCTGGTTCATGAACATTATCATTTTACCGTCATCATGGTCATTTCATTGAGAAATATTTTATTTGTGCAATTTGAAACTGAACGTTTTTAATGCTCGCATGTTGTTTCCTTTGTTTTATACATTATGACATTACTTACTTTACATGACGGGTGACGTCAATGAAGCAAAAGACGCTTACCCTTCTGGAACACCCGATCCTTGTGTCGCACGAACGATGGGCCTTTGACGACTGGGGGCGGGACGAAAGAGGGAAAATCAATGAATTTCTTTAAAATCTATCTGGTTCTTCAGGAATTGCAAGATATTGTCGATATTTTGTTTGAAGCATTCTTGGGTGATGGGAAATAAATTTTTTGTATAGAGCGCGGGTTTCCACCCACGGGGGTCTGATAGACGAGGCCAAACAGGGAAAATCTAACACCAAAGTAGGTTTAGTTAATTTTCTTATCATTAAAAAATATTATGTTTTGCATTATCGACTTAAATATCTAAGTTAGCGATACAGGCCCTCTGGGCCTCTTGTTTGAATCATGGCTTTGTTGATGATGAAAAAATACACACCTTGCCAAAATTAGTTCACAGTATTTGTAAAAAAAAAACTCTTTGTTTGAAAGGATTTGTATTTGCATGTTATTTATGTTTTCTTTCCGCGATATGAAGTTGAGTGTGCGTAATACTCATAATTCTGTATGCCTGCTAGTTTGCGTGTTGTAATAATGATTCTCATTTTAGATTAATTTTGATTTACATTAATATTCATTGCGGATATCGTCTGTGAAAATGCGCCCGTCACATAGACAGGCTCTTGTATATTTCCAAGGTATCCATGTAAATGTTTTATTTTGTTATTTTTTTCAGAATTTTCGATATTTTCATCGATTTTGTGTATTAACACACTAGTATTCCATTTTTATTTTCTTATTTGTTTATTTGTATTATACGATCTAATTGTGTTATTGTGTAGAATATGTTACCTGCCTGTGTTCGAAATAGATTTATCTCAGTCGACATTCTATAATAAATTTAATGTGATATTACAGAATGTCAGCGATACACTGAGATAAATTGATGTTGATGTTGATTCACTTTCTCGGACATTGTTTTATCAAAAATTCCGAAATCTTGCACAATCGTTTTTTTTTCAAATTTTTTGGTTCAGTTATACTACCTTTCTTTGTGGTGATACGTCAGAAAGACAATTTAATATGGTATCATTTTAATAGTGACTTCACTTGGTATCAAATATCGTACAAATGTACCAGATAGATCGAAGGAGACTAAAAAATCCAGCAATGGGTAGGCCATGATATTTCCTTGTTACATGTACAGTGTATAGTATTGTTAAGATTACTTTTTTCAGTGTATTTTATTTCATTTTGATGTCCTGTAAAAAATAATAATAAACAAATTTGTATCTCAAAAATAGTATGTCTGGAATGTGTTGACAGTTGCTGTCAGTAGTGACTTATTTGTACTAGACCTAGAATGTTCCCTTCATATGTACGTTGATGTGCTTTCCTTTTTTGTCAGTAATATATAACATTTTGTAAAATAACATCTTTAATACAAAACAGCATTTAATGAGACGTAGATATTTGATAACTTATATCTTTTTCTAAAAACATGAGAAGCATAAATGACAAATGAAACCCATGATTCAGACAATAAGTGAAAAGTTTGATACCATTAAAACAATTGATACTCATTATATAGAAGGTAAAATCCTGAATTTGAATATTTGATACACGGTAAAGAAATTTAAGATCATTGTTCACCTTCGTATATTATTTGTAGATTTTACAAAGCGCCATTGTAGAGAACAAAGATGGGATGAAGCTGTCGCCACACGTAATTATTGTTGTATGATAATTTAGTTAAAAAACTAAAGGCCTTTATTGATCTTGTAAATATTTCTTCACAATAAAAACAAATCAAATTTTGAAGTGTTGTATCTTCTGTGTGATGACCATTGTTGTTTGTGCTTTCATTTTTACAAGGATATAAGACATATAAGGACATTTTGAATAAAATACTAGTTGAAATCCTAGTTGCTAAAAACGTTAAATCTGCCTTACACGGATGGTGAGAAGCAGGAAGGAAGCATTGGAATTTGGGAGTTTAATATGGAGAGATGAGATCGGAAAAATGAAATAGTAAAATACGGAAGCTAATGTTACCGGTAATGTCATTTAATTAGATTTAAGATATACACACAAAGCTTTCTGACTTTTTTCATTTCTTGAGGAACCATTTAGTTTCATATTTGAATTTTTGACTTAGAAATGACTTGTGTTGACGATTAACCTGACCCGTTACTTGATGATCAGTAAACGTGACTTACCATAGCGTATACATGTACATACATGTTATCTGGGTCGTGGTACATCATCGTTTATGAAGAGGTATATGAACGTACATTTGTATACTGCAGAAATGAGGATGTGTTTTCTAACACGACTATAACCAGTGTGACAGTGTACAGGATATAATTCTGTTTATACCTGCATTTTATGATGTCTGAGAACGTATTTCTTTCTTTCAATGTATTCTGTGAACTCGTTTTATTGGTAGTTGGTTAACAAATTCATATGTATTTAAACGAGGGAAACTTAAAACCATATGAACTAGTCAACCGGATTTACCTCTATTTCAGTTGACAAGTTAATACTAGTCGCCTATGTGTGTCTGAAGTTATTTTTTGTAAATGCTAGTGTTACGTCGTTAGATACATTTTACTTGTTAATATATTCAAAACTTTGGATCTGTTTTTGAATATATAAATCATTGCAATAGGTAGGAACGTTTTTTAAAAAATTCTTTTGTAACAAAATCTTTATTAGCATTGCTTGCTTGAAAAAGAAAAGGAAATGACTAATATACTTTTAGAGGTATCTGGAAAGAAAATGAAACCTTTGGCAATTTCCGTTTTTATTATGCAGTTTATAATTTCTGATAGAATTGCACGAGTTCAAAAATAGGGCGTAACATAAAGCATTTTCTATAGGGGAATCATGTTTCTACAAAATTAGGTTTTCATATTATACCACTTTTGTGTGAGCTCATACACTTGATATATGAAATGGTTATCTTTAACGCGACCTTCCGTACAAAGACAAAGATAGAAAGATCTCAAATGGTAGTGTACGGGTAAAATATCTTAATGTGTTTGTTTGCGTTTAACTGTAGATATTGTGTAAAATATTGTATGTGTGGTACGATGTTAATTACTTTTGCTTCGTTTTTTTTCTATTTGAAAAGTAAATCTGATTCAGTAAAAAAAATGAAGATGGAAAAACCAGCAATGCATTGTCGGAATTTTTATCACTATATTTGATTTCAATTTAGGGAAATGAAAGCCTAGTTCGAATTTGAGCCTTAACACGGGCTGATGATATAGAAGTATTGGAAATGTGTATTGTATATGTTTTATGCTATTGTTTAGATAATGTAATATTTTCAAAATAGCTTGTATTCGATCTAAACAACAGATTTTATGAAAATCAACTCGAAATATGTGGGCAAGTGATCACAGGAACGTAGGGTGAATTTAGATGGGAGTAATTTACTCGTTCAGCGTTATATAGCTCCCGTCCAAACACGTGAAAGTTACGGTTACACTGATCATGAAAATGTCGGGTCTCCAGGAGACCGTGTTGTAAGGGGAATCTTTATACAATTCAATGTATATTAATTCCACATTTCATATTGGTGTGTATGCACACAGTAAACGTGCAACCTCTTGGATTAACAAAGTGTTTATAAGAGACATGTGATATTCATTGATATTTTGACAGACATTTAAATGACAAAGAAAGTGTGTTTCGTTCACGTCACTATGAAATACATTAACTATTTCATTTAGACATCAATCGAAACTGGAGTTGTACATTCACTAAAGGACGTGTGCTGAATACAGAAAATCCTGATGAACGATCTATTGAATAAGTCAATGATAAAAGAACTTAAGCGAGTATGAGATGAATAAATAACGAGTGATGGAATGAAGAATTGAAAGATTGAGAAAAATGGACGAAAGAGTGAAATGATTGAATCATTAATGAAATTTTAACAATTTGAAATATTTGTTGAATGCAATATTTGAATGGTAAGTTTGACACTGAATATTTTAATTCAAATAGTAACTAAGATTTCAACAAGCATTTTATTCAAAATGTCCTTAAAAAGGCAAAATATATTTTTTGTGAAACACGAATTGTCATGAACATTTACAATGACTATATGTAAAAATCTACATCAACTATAAGAGTATAAAGTTATGGTAATCTGATTTTTGGAAAAACTTTTTTATTTGTCCTTCTTGCTTTCCTCCTTGTCTTGTTTTGTTGCCATCGCATCTGCCTTTCGTGACATCTTCAGCAGTCTTGTCTCTGACATAATTAAACTCATATCCTTCAGCCACATCACCTGCAACATTTCAAGATTAAGGTCCTCCCATATTTCAAACAAACAAACAAAAAAGAAATAATATTTGTCATATCACTTACATCATTTCAATATCAGTCTTTTCGTATTTCAAACACATTGAAAAAAATTATATTTATTTGTCCAACACATCACTTTCAACATTTCAATATCAAAGTCATTTCGTATTTCAAACCAATTCAAACAAACAGAAAAAGAAATGGTATTTGTCAGTCATATTGCCAACAATATTTCAAGATCAATGTCATTTCATATTTTGCAACAAATCGAAAAAAGAGTTGGGATTTGTCGATTTCGTCAATACGATGCACACATCTACATCAACTTGCATTGTTATGACAGATAATGCTCACTGTATTGAAAATAATCGGATAGATATATGTGTCAAACAGTCAACCACAAATGTATGATGCAAAGCATAACAGTGATAGTAGTTGTCGAAGCCATTTCCAGGAAACCTACTGAAAATATCAGTAAGGGTTTCATCAATACTATAGCAGTTCGGTTCTAAAATGTAAACAAGGAGATTAGAAAACGGGATCTTACATTACTTGCTATCAACTTAGCACTCACTTCTTTCAGTATTATATTGCAGAAAGAAGTTAGAAATGGTTAACAATCTGAGGGGAAATTTTCTAGAACCTTTGACAGAACATGTAATATTATCAAACAGGAGGAGGTTGATATGTTACTATACTTACCAATATCACTAGACAGTTGATAAGTACTGGCGTAGAAAAAACAACAGACATGAATAAACCGTTACTATCAAAGTACTGCTGTCTAGCAAAAAGTCTGCAAGAGAAAAATATGTAACAGATATAATGTACTGCATGAGGAGTATTTAACATGTTGTGTGACTATTGGGTCAACAATATCGTGTTGCAAATTAATCTTATAATTATTCTTCCTTGTTTGTTTGATTTTACTTTTCTTGTTTTTGACCGATTTTTTTATTTATTTTTTTTTTTTTTGTCAAATTCACCTTAATGGACTAACCATGATATATTTATTTTTGCATTTTAATTTAGTGAAAGTTTAAAGACAGCATTTCTATCGTCTAATTCAGCCCTACAACAGAATCCCCGTTGTGGTCGATGAAGGGAGAATAATCCATTGGAAGGTTGAAGACTGGAAATACTGATCAGCTGGCTGTTATGCAACTTGGACAGGCCATGCCGAAGCCATCAGAGAATCAACAATCTTTATGTTGTGAAACCGAGAAATTATTTCACGACAAACGGTCTGATACCATGATGAGTGGAAGTGAATAAGATATGAAAACAACAATGAAATTAACCAGCACGTCAACATAACCTTAATACAACCTCACATTTGACAAAACAAGGGCACAAACGTGAATAAAAATATTTACAGGCCTAGGGTGAAAATGTACAAAGAGAAGACCATGCGCACCAGAATGGTAACCTTTGTCAACTTCATTGACAACATAAGCCATGTAAATAAATCTCTGGCAACAGACCACTGTTATATCAGCTTTATCCTAGTAATACAAGGAAGTGACACATGCTTTCGTGCTGTATATGATGGATTGAAATAAATGAAGGAAGTGGTATATCAGTATGGAAAAAAATGATAAAAAAGTCATTAAAGCCTATGTCAATATGCCCCATTCACCACATTCACATACAAATATTTGTTCATCTATTCATTTCAAAGAGAGGCCAAATTGGCATGCATTGCTCACCTGGTATTCAATTTTATCACAAAGAGAACTAGTGTTTATAACAAATAAATTACCACATCCACCATTGACATTCAAGAACGGTACGTATAATCAACTTTTTAACCAATTTCTACAATAAACAGCCTCTAACACTCAAATATACACAGTGAGAGTTATGACCTGGATTACAATAAAATGTCATTTCTTTTGCTTTTCTCGAAATTTGTCGGGCTTAGACCTCGAAACTCGTTTCCACCAAATATCCTGCTTCCCAGACATTTGGTTTACCAGAAGAAGTTTTCCACAGGTTTTAATCATTTGATCGTTGTGACCTTTCCTATAGTTCAAGGTCATTTCTTTTCGCTTAATCCTTAATACCTAACAGCGAAAAACCATGACATTTCGTTACTGAGAAGAGGTTGATAAAATGTCAAAGTTGACAACAGACGAACGACTTTGCCCTTCTGGTCAGGTGAGCTAATAAATGAAGCAGTGTGAATATGGTTATGAAATTATGTTCTTTAGTAATCGGTCCTGCTGATGGCATGTATGGAAGATTTAGAATCCATATTCGATTAGATTATGATTGGAGAGGTAATAACTGCTAAGGTCATGTCAAGTATGATTCTGAAATCTACATGTACATCCATTGTGAACACTGCATTTTAGTGGTTAGGACTCATACAATGAGCAAACTGAAATCACAGGTGTATTTGATCACTGCAGGCATATGTTAAGTCCGTAAATACAAAGTAAGTTAAACTCACAAGTCCTGCGCATAGTAAATATATGGAAGTTTAGAGTATATGTCACCTTACTAGCCTCAGTGTGCTGGCATTAATCTGTTCAGACAAACAGCAGAGTTTCTTGCTATAACAACAAGGCCTAGCTTGCATTGTGCATCATCATGCTTTACAAGAAGTCAATCAAGTTTTACAACCTTAAACAATCCCTTTTCTAATGTTCAAAAGTGTTTTCAATAATGATGAAAAGCAGGAATATATATATCTTAAATTTTGAACAATATCTTTAATATACTGTAAAACCTGTCTATAAAGTACTTTAATATACCGTAAAACCTGTCAATAAAGTACTTTAATATACCGTAAAACTTGTCTATAAAGTACTTTAATATACCGTAAAACCTGTCTATAAAGTACTTTAATATACCGTAAAACCTGTCTATAAAGTACTTTAATATACCGTAAAACCTGTCTATAAAGTACTTTAATATACCGTAAAACTTTAATATACCGTAAAACCTGTCTATAAAGTACTTTAATATACCGTAAAACCTGTCTATAAAAAGTACTTTAATATACCGTAAAACCTGTCTATAAAGAACTTTAATATACCGTAAAACCTGTCTATAAAGTACTTTAATATACCGTAAAACCTGTCTATAAAGTACTTTAATATACCGTAAAACCTGTCTATAAAGTACTTTAATATACATGTCCACAGCTTCAGTCGTGAACAAAGTGACCTATACATAAAAAAGAGAATCCTTAAAAGTCTGGTCGGACGTTTAATGTTTCTTGATCAAAGTGAAGAAGCAAGATGGGCAATTCCACACTGATCGTTGAATTTCTTTCCATGGCATTACCAATCATGCATTCTGTGTAATAGACAGAGCATATCAAGCCATCAGTACGAACGTCAGTTATTCAATCGCAGGGAGTTAAACACGGCTTCTCACTTTCCAATTCCGTTATCACAGAGGAAAAAACTAACACGTAAAGCGCACAGTCTATCAAAATTAAAATTAATCAATAATGTATGACACATGTTAAAACACATGGAATTCATGCTTCCGATTCATGCAGTAAATTCATGGTATGTGTTTTAGCAACATTAAAAAAAATAAGGATGGCAGGTTAACGTTAGACTATAATGAAACACAAAAATATTTCTCATTCATTAATCCACTATGAAATTGTGTCATTTAAGGGAACAAAAACCAACATATTACAAATTTTATTATTTTTCAGTTTATTCAACACTAGTATTTAAAAATATTTATTTGCATTAAAATATTCAGTGACAAACTTACCATTCAAATATTGCATTCAACAAATATTTCAAATTGTTAAAATTTCATTAATGATTCAATCATTTCACTCTTTCGTCCATTTTTCTCAATCTTTCAATTCTTCATTCCATCACTCGTTATTTATTCATCTCATACTCGCTTAAGTTCTTTTATCATTGACTTATTCAATAGATCGTTCATCAGGATATTCTGTATTCAGCACACGTCCTTTAGTGAATGTACAACTCCAGTTTCGATTGATGTCTAAATGAAATAGTTAATGTATTTCATAGTGACGTGAACGAAACACACTTTCTTTGTCATTTAAATGTCTGTCAAAATATCAATGAATATCACATGTCTATTATACACATTTTGTTAATCCAAGAGGTTGCACGTTTACTGTGTGCACACACACACCAATATGAAATGTGGAATTAATGTACATTGAATTGTATAAAGATTCCCCTTACAACACGGTCTCCTGGAGACCTGACATTTTCATGATCAGTGTAACCGTAACTTTCACGTGTTTGGACGGGAGCTATATAACGCTGAACGAGTAAATTACTCCCATCTAAATTCACCCTACGTTCCTGTGATCACTTCCCCACATATTTCGAGTTGATTTTCATAAAATCTGTTGTTTAGATCGAATACAAGCTATTTTGAAAATATTACATTATCTAAACAATAGCATAAAACATATACAATACACATTTCCAATACTTCTATATCATCAGCCCGTGTTAAGGCTCAAATTCGAACTAGGCTTTCATTTCCCTAAAATTGAAATCAAATATAGTGATAAAAATTCCGACAATGCATTGCTGGTTTTTCCATCTTCATTTTTTTTACTGAATCAGATTTACTTTTCAAATAGAAAAAAAACGAAGCAAAAGTAATTAACATCGTACCACACATACAATATTTTACACAATATCTACAGTTAAACGCAAACAAACACATTACGATATTTTACCCATACACTACCATTCGAGATCTTTCTATCTTTGTCTATGTACGGAAGGTCGCGTTAAAGATAACCATTTCATATATCAAGTGTATGAGCTCACACAAAAGTGGTATAATATGAAAACCTAGTTTAATAGAAACATGATCCCCCTATAGAAAATGCTTTATGTTACGCCCTATTTTTGAACTCGTGCAATTCTATCAGAAATTATAAACTGCATAATAAAAACGGAAATTGCCAAAGGTTTCATTTTCTTTCCAGATACCTCTAAAAGTATATTAGTCATTTCCTTTTCTTTTTCAAGCAAGCAATGCTAATAAAGATTTTATTACAAAAGAATTTTTTAAAAAACGTTTTTATCTATTGCAATGATTTATATATTCCAAAGCAGATCCAAAGTTTTGAATATATTAACAAGTAAAATGTATCTAACGACGTAACACTAGCATTTACAAAAAATAACATAGGCGACTAGTATTAACTTGTCAACTGAAATAGAGGTAAATCCGGTTGACTAGTTCATATGGTTTTAAGTTTCCCTCATTTAAATACATATGAATTTGTTAACCAACTACCAATAAAACCGAGTTCACAGAATACATTGAAAGAAAGAAATACGTTCTCAGACATCATAAAATGCAGGTATAAACAGAATTATATCCTGTACACTGTCACACTGGTTATAGTCGTGTTAGAAAACACATCCTCATTTCTGCAGTATACAAATGTACGTTCATATACCTCTTCATAAGCGATGATGTACACGACCCAGATAACATGTATGTACATGTATACGCTATGGTAAGTCACGTTTACTGATCATCAAGTAACGGGTCAGGTTAATCGTCAACACAAGTCATTTCTAAGTCAAAAATTCAAATATGAAACTAAATGGTTCCTCAAGAAATGAAAAAAGTCTTAAAGCTTTGGGTGTATATCTTAAATCTAATTAAATGACATTACCGGTAACATTAGCTTCCGTATTTTACTATTTCATTTTTCCGATCTCATCTCTCCATATTAAACTCCCAAATTCCAATGCTTCCTTCTTCCTGCTTCTCACCATCCGTGTAAGGCAGATTTAACGTTTTTAGTAACTAAGATTTCAACAAGCATTTTATTCAAAATGTCCTTAAAAAGGCAAAATATATTTTTTGTGAAACACGAATGGTCATGAACATTTACAATGACTATATGTAAAAATCTACATCATCTATAAGAGTATAAAGTTATGGTAATCTGATTTTTGGAAAAACTTTTTATTTGTCCTTCTTGCTTTCCTCCTTGTCTTGTTTTGTTGCCATTGCATCTGCCTTTCGTGACATCTTCAGCAGTCTTGTCTCTGACATAATTAAACTCATATCCTTCAGCCACATCACCTGCAACATTTCAAGATTAAGGTCCTCCCATATTTCAAACAAACAAACAAAAAAGAAATAATATTTGTCATATCACTTACATCATTTCAATATCAGTCTTTTCGTATTTCAAACATATTGAAAAAAAATTATATTTATTTGTCCAACACATCACTTTCAACATTTCAATATCAAAGTCATTTCGTATTTCAAACCAATTCAAACAAACATGAAAAGAAATGGTATTTGTCAGTCATATTGCCAACAATATTTCAAGATCAATGTCATTTCATATTTTGCAACAAATCGAAAAAAGAGTTGGGATTTGTCGATTTCGTCAATACGATGCACACATCTACATCAACTTGCATTGTTATGACAGATAATGCTCACTGTATTGAAAATAATCGGATAGATATATGTGTCAAACAGTCAACCACAAATGTATGATGCAAAGCATAACAGTGATAGTAGTTGTCGAAGCCATTTCCAGGAAACCTACTGAAAATATCAGTAAGGGTTTCATCAATACTATAGCAGTTCCGTTCTAAAATGTAAACAAGGAGATTAGAAAACGGGATCTTACATTACTTGCTATCAACTTAGCACTCACTTCTTTCAGTATTATATTGCAGAAAGAAGTTAGAAATGGTTAACAATCTGAGGGGAAATTTTCTAGAACCTTTGACAGAACATGTAATATTATCAAACAGGAGGAGGTTGATATGTTACTATACTTACCAATATCACTAGACAGTTGATAAGTACTGGCGTAGAAAAAACAACAGACATGAATAAACCGTTACTATCAAAGTACTGCTGTCTAGCAAAAAGTCTGCAAGAGAAAAATATGTAACAGATATAATGTACTGCATGAGGAGTATTTAACATGTTGTGTGACTATTGGGTCAACAATATCGTGTTGCACATTAATCTTATAATTATTCTTCCTTGTTTGTTTGATTTTACTTTTCTTGTTTTTGACCGATTTTTTTTTTTTTTGTCAAATTCACCTTCATGGACTAACCATGACATATTTATTTTGCATTTTAATTTAGTGAAAGTTTAAAGACAGCATTTCGTCTAATTCAGCCCTACAACAGAATCCCCGCTGTGGTCGATGAAGGGAGAATAATCCATTGGAAGGTTGAAGACTGGAAATACTGATCAGCTGGCTGTTATGCAACTTGGACAGGCCATGCCGAAGCCATCAGAGAATCAACAATCTTTATGTTGTGAAACCGAGAAATTATTTCACGACAAACGGTCTGATATCATGATGAGTGGAAGTGAATAAGATATGAAAACAACAATGAAATTAACCAGCACGTCAACATAACCTTAATACAACCTCACATTTGACAAAACAAGGGCACAAACGTGAATAAAAATATTTACAGGCCTAGGGGTGAAAATGTACAAAGAGAAGACCATGCGCACCAGAATGGTAACCTTTGTCAACTTCATTGACAACATAAGCCATGTAAATAAATCTCTGGCAACAGACCACTGTTATATCAGCTTTATCCTAGTAATACAAGGAAGTGACACATGCTTTCGTGCTGTATATGATGGATTGAAATAAATGAAGGAAGTGGTATATCAGTATGGAAAAAAATGATAAAAAAGTCATTAAAGCCTATGTCAATATGCCCCATTCACCACATTCACATACAAATATTTGTTCATCTATTCATTTCAAAGAGAGGCCAAATTGGCATGCATTGCTCACCTGGTATTCAATTTTATCACAAAGAGAACTAGTGTTTATAACAAATAAATTACCACATCCAACATTGACATTCAAGAACGGTACGTATAATCAACTTTTTCACCAATTTCTACAATAAACAGCCTCTAACACTCAAATATACACAGTGAGAGTTATGACCTGGATTACAATTAAATGTCATTTCTTTTGCTTTTCTCGAAATTTGTCGGGCTTAGACCTTGAAACTCGTTTCCACCAAATATCCTGCTTCCCAGACATTTGGTTTACCAGAAGAAGTTTTCCACAGGTTTTAATCATTTGATCGTTGTGACCTTTCCTATAGTTCAAGGTCATTTCTTTTCGCTTAATCCTTGGTACCTAACAGCGAAAAACCATGACATTTCGTTACTGAGAAGAGGTTGATAAAATGTCAAAGTTGACAACAGACGAACGACTTTGCCCTTCTGGTCAGGTGAGCTAATAAATGAAGCAGTGTGAATATGGTTATGAAATTATGTTCTTTAGTAATCGGTCGTGCTGATGACATGTATGGAAGATTTAGAATCAATATTCGATTAGATTATGATTGGAGAGGTAATAACTGCTAAGGTCATGTCAAGTATGATTCTGAAATCTACATGTACATCCATTGTGAACAATGCATTTTAGTGGTTAGGACTCATACAATGAGCAAACTGAAATCACAGGTGTATTTGATCACTGCAGGCATATGTTAAGTCCGTAAATACAAAGTAAGTTAAACTCACAAGTCCTACGCATAGTAAATATATGGAAGTTTATAGTACATGTCACCTTACTAGCCTCAGTGTGCTGGCATTAATCTGTTCAGACAAACAGCAGAGTTTCTTGCTATAACAACAAGGCCTAGCTTGCATTGTGCATCATCATGCTTTACAAGAAGTCAATCAAGTTTTACAACCTTAAACAATCCCTTTTCTAATGTTCAAAAGTGTTTTCAATAATGATGAAAAGCAGGAATATATATATCTTAAATTTTGAACAATATCTTTAATATACTGTAAAACCTGTCTATAAAGTACTTTAATATACCGTAAAACCTGTCTATAAAGTACTTTAATATACCGTAAAACCTGTCTATAAAGTACTTTAATATACCGTAAAACCTGTCTATAAAGTACTTTAATATACCGTAAAACCTGTCTATAAAGTACTTTAATATACCGTAAAACCTGTCTATAAAGAACTTTAATATACCGTAAAACCTGTCTATAAAGTACTTTAATATACCGTAAAACCTGTCTATAAAGTACTTCAATATACTGTAAAACCTGTCTATAAAGTACTTCAATATACCGTAAAACCTGTCTCAAAAGTACTTCAATATACCGTAAAACCTGTCTCAAAAGTACTTTAATATACCGTAAAACCTGTCTATAAAGTACTTCAATATACTGTAAAACCTGTCTATAAAGTACTTCAATATACCGTAAAACCTGTCTCAAAAGTACTTCAATATACCGTAAAACCTGTCTCAAAAGTACTTCAATATACCGTAAAACCTGTCTATAAAGTACTTCAATATACCGTAAAACCTGTCTATAAATTACTTCAATATACCGTAAAACCTGTCTATAAAGTACTTCAATATACCGTAAAACCTGTCTATAAAGTACTTTAATATACGGTAAAACCTGTCTATAAAGTACTTCAATATACCGTAAAAACCTGTCTATAAAGTACTTCAATATACCGTAAAACCTGTCTATAAAGTACTTTAATATACCGTAAAACCGGTCTATAAAGTACTTTAATATACCGTAAAACCGGTCTATAAAGTACTATATCATTATAGTTCCCATTGTAATACAGCTGATACTTATGGGTTATGTATTTGTGCATTTTCTTTTACAATATCAATAACTACCATTTAACCATTATTATTATAATATTCTTTGTATCTAGGCCAATAAGAGGGAATACACTAGGTATTACACAAGCACAGGAAGATAATGCCTTCATACAACATAGAGAGATAAGAACTTCATATTGTTGCTGCTAGAACAGTTTTTGGGATATAATGAAAAGATTTTGTTGCTGTTTAAACAAGTAGGGGAGATAACACCTACATGTACAATGTGTTGTTACTCCTAAACCAAGGGAGATAAGTACTGATGCTACTAAAACAGGCAGGGAAGATAATACCTTTACAGTTTGTAACTGCTAAAGCAAAGGAGATAACTACTTTACTACTAAAACTGGCAGGGGAGATAACTAATGTTGCTTTCAAAACCAACAGGGAAGATAATAAGTTTATAGAGCATTGTTATTGCTAAAACAGGTGTGCTAACTATTGTTGATAATAAACAAATTGCAGCTAAAACCACTAGGGACTGCTTGATTTGACTTTGAAACTCATGAGCTAGTTTCAAAGACCATATTACTGTCTAACAGGTACTTGCTGATATCACATATAACTATTACTTAAAGTACCACAATGTTACACTTACTTTTAGCGCAGTGTCCTCTTGTAGATCCTTTATCTAAGTTTATGACAAATTACCTGTGGTACTTGTATTCTTTTTAAAGTGTGGTAATACATAACACACCAAACACTTTCTGCACACATCACGCATACATCATGCACACATCAGGCATACATCTTACACAAACAAGCACCATGCAGTATCTAGCTCACAACTGTAAGATAGGACTCCACATTTTGTGCTTTTGGAAAAAATGGTTTACTTATATCATGGATTGAAAAATAAATTGAAAACTTGTATAGTTATGACTAAATAGCAATCACACGTGTATTAAAATTGATCAGTGATGAGGAAGGTCATTTTAACTTTGACAGTGTTCAAAATAATACTAGGTCCTGCATTAATTAATCTTTTTGGTATATTTTTTCACACCTCAGAGAGCAGAGAGTGCTGTATCTTAGAAAACAAAAATTACCTATATACTGTTATATAAGTTACATGTCACGTTCCTACCAGCTATTTTTCCCTTGTAATGAACACAACACTTATAATTTACCACAGTGTATATCTTTTGTTTACAAAACGATCAAAAACGAAAGTACCAGTAATAAGGAAGTAATGAAAATAAAATTTCCCTCTGACGGTATGAGTTTTTAGATGAAACATTGACGAGATAAAATGGACACACCCATTAATGGTTACATATATGATGTATAAATAATGAGTGACTGGACTCTAAGGCTGGTCATGTTTGGTATTTGTAAGGAAAACACTCTAAATTTGGAGTGTATGTAGCTATTCGGTCTGTACCTGATAGATCCGCATATGTATAAACAATAAATATATGGCTTACTTAGGAAAAATATTAAGCTTTATTCTAATACATTTTAAAAACAAATAAACTCTATCCCACAAATATCTTTCAGTCCTTTCTAAATTCATATCAACCATGACAGAATTGCACATCTGTGCGATAGAACCAAACTATGTGTGCATGGATGTGTAGTGGTTAATTTCTTCCAGTTTTCCTATCAAGCACACATTGTGCATATACCTGTAATGTTATGGGATCTTACAACTATATGAACCTGTAAGCTTGGTATTTATGTTAATTTTTGATATTTCAGATACGTAAAATGACCAATTTGATAAAACTGAGAGGGCAAAACAGATACATTAATGGTGAATTGTGAAAATTGACCGTTCCTGATTTAATGCATACCTTATATATTATGAACAAAATAATGGTTGAACACAAGACTATGCATGCACGGCCCACAATGCTTACATCGAGAGAGATTCCTTTTGAGCTAAACAGAGTTATTTTGTCATTTATCACATGTAGCTGATCAATTTTGCAAAAGCTCTGTGACCTTTGATTCTATGAGTTCTGTGACTACTATCGTTCGTCATTAATTAGCTTTATTTTTTTTTTCATAATCCATAGCATTATTTTTTTTCATAATCTGTAGTTTTATTTATTTTTTTTTTTTCATAATCTAAACCCAAATTAAATAAAAGTAGGAAAAATCATGACAAGGACCAGCATCTTAAGACAACATTAACCTAATCCTGGTATAAATGTACAGTATGGTACCTGGGTACTTACTTCCAATTATTGGCTGCCCATTCATTGATTGTCTCAGCAAAAAACACCAATAATACTGAAATAAAATCGAAATAAACGAAACATAATCGAGCTAACAATGAAGAGTTATAAATCAGTATCTTAGACACAACTGAAAAATTAATATGATTTTGGATAAAAATCTTATCTGTCCTCAATGAAACAAATTCACCTTTTTTTCAAACAAAAATAAAGATAAATAAATATTCTACTTATATTTGTAGTCCACTTCATTAGAAGCCTTCGAGAGGTCAATTACATATTGTTTATGTTATATATACATGTACATTTCTCAACATATTAGTTAGTGAATTACGGTGTGAAAATAATCTAATCTAATTCTGGTTTAAAAATGAAAAGTTGTTGAAAATGATTTTCTTTTTTCAATTTCAATTTAGCTCCTAAAAAACAATGTATGTTTTATAGTTTCAGTTGGTTTAACTGTGGACTTCAATCTATATCTACAATGTAAGTCTGTAGTTTGACATCATATCACATATACAAAGATATTACATAATCATCAACTATTAATCCACGCTTAAGAAAAATTTATCTAACAGCTAAGAGGTGCTATACAAAAAAATAAGCCATCAGCTCTCTTATGACGCTCTTGAACTGACATATAGCAAAAGGGATAGAAAACTTTCTATAATTTTATGGAACTCTCAGTAAAGGTAACTGTAAAGTGAATTTGAGTTAACTAGTCTTGTTGTGTTTTTAGTCCACTTTTCTCAAAACTGCTGAACTACTCTTTACAAAATGAACAGTGGCCAAAAGCTTAATAACTAACTTTTAAAATGAACTTTCTAACTTTGTGGCCAATAGCTTCTATTAACTTTTGACATACATGCATATCTTTGTGTTAATGGTTTTTTTCTTTTTGTCAACAAATGAAATATTACACTATACTATATACTGTGATACTTTCAGTGTAAAATATGAAGAAAATTATTTCTCAACCAATGCCATTAAAAGCTGAGTAATTTTCTAACGGACAAATATATCTTTTATAATCAATACTTTTGATTTGTTATTATTGTTTTTGTTCAAGTTTCACTTGTCACAGGTCAACAAATTGGCTCTGGTCAGATCAGTCAATATTTAGTGGACAAAAGCTACAGTTTAGACACAAATGAGACATGGATACATATCGATATGATTGCCATACTACATTTGAGGAAAGAGGGCTTTGATAACTTCATGTCTCAGTTAAATGATAATAAAAAAAGTTGCTGTAACTTCAGAGAAGTCCTTGCTTATAGATGTGCAGATGTTAGGACCAGACACATTAACATACCAGTAAATGTTTTCTACATGCTCTGTAATTAAATAGTACATAAAGATCTCTACTTACACATAACCATGAAATGAAAACACTGTAATAATGTGTTGTTTCTTGTAGCCGCTGTTATTATGAAACATGTTACATGGAAAATTCCTAGTGCTGTAAACCAAGGCTCACTGAAGTCGATCTGTAATGAAATCATCAAAATTGGGACATAACCAAATTGAAATTTAAATAGCAAGCTTGCATGTTAAGTTATCGTTTGCATAAAATCAATAATTTGTCAATCCTGAATAAAACTGGGAGACTTTCTTACAATGTCAGTGCCCAAAATTACGAATTTGCTGTATATGTATACATGCATGGTCATGGCTAGGTCACCGACAACAACTTAACAGTATAACATGTCACTACGACATCTAGGAGTTGCTCTTTACCAGAGAATGCATCTAACACGTTACAAGATGTACAAAGCTAAAGAGTAAAGTACAAATTGATGCATCTGAACTCTTCGACACTCGCCTGTTGCAAGTAGGACCATATCCCCTGAATCTCGTTCGCCTTCACCGGCTCCATATTTCCTATATCCATCGCATGTAATTTCTTTTCCTTATCCCGTGATGTATACAGGCTTCGACAAACTGAGTATGACACGTTGGGTTTTGGTCGTTTACAAAATAAACGTTCATGGTTAACGAAACGCTTGTTATAGTTATTTATAAACCCTACTTTCGTTTTCACAGTGACTCGTATCAACCACCAAGACTGGATACTAAAAACCAATAGCACAACAACAAATTCAAGACCAGAGCCAGTGTGACCTTTTGCAAGTGGTTCCCTTGTAAATACAAACGTACAATGGTAGCTTATTCTAATGGCACAGGCAATTAATGAATGTCTGGCATTCAAATATTTGCCACATAAATCACAGACTTTGATGAATCGCGCGGAACGATTTACTCAAAAACACACAAAACTACTCCAAAATACCAAAATAATACACCCCAAAAAACTACTCAAAACAATTTGAATTGCCCAAACAACTATTAGAAGAAGAAAATAAATTATATAAACGTTTTTATATGGTAAGAAGCCATACCATTTTGAAATTGAGGTTGCGATATTGTTTTGTATTGGAGGTAGCCTAACCCCTACAAAATTATCTCATTCAGTTAATAATGTCTTTTAATTATAACGGAAAAATCCTTTTTCGCCGCTCCTTGAGGTTTTTTTTTTTTACTTTGTTTTTGTTTTTGTTTTTTTTTTTTTATTTTGTTTTTTTTTTTTTGGGGGGGGGGGGGGGGGGGGGGGGGGGGGGGGGGGGGGGGGGGGGGGTAGTATTTAGTGTTTTCTGGGTAAGTCGTTATGCCGGATAAATACACAGGATCTAAGTAGAAATTACCGATATACAGACACGAGTCAAGTATGTTTTTTTTTTTTCGAATATTGTTGGAATATACAAACTTTTTCCAAAACATTAATTTTCGTGAACACGCGTTTTCTTCTTCACTCCTGATGACTACTTGTAGATAAGTAATAAGCTTATTTTTTTGTTTCAGGTCTAACAGTGTCCTCTACACCAGATTCACATCTGGATGTATACACGTACACTGATGTTGGATATTTAATTGTTGCTTTGTTGTTAAAGAAAGGCTTATTTTTCCAATGACCATTCAGCTTACAGGTACGGCATTTTGTGGCATTTCATTCCAGATGACTGCTGTTCTGATTGGAAAAAAAACAACTTATTTATGGATCGCTTATAGGGAATATTTTTAGTGTGTCACTTTGATGATCAGTTGCATCTGTCCAATGGTTTGATTACATTTAACATACATTATGATAAACCTTGACTTGTTATTTTGTATAGTTCTTTCACGTCAACCCTAATTCTTCTGAATGTTAGCTTTGATAGCTTCGGTTTCTTCAACCTCTCATTGTAGGTCATTGGTCAGGTGAGATCTATCTGCTGTACTCAAACAATTGTGTAAAATTTTACGTCTACACGAATGAAAAATTCTGTTTAAAAATGATTATTTATTGTCAATATTTACAATTATTATGCTGTTACTGATATTTCATTTGTTCATTTATTCATTACAATCTCCCAGAGTTACTTCCTTCATTTTTTCATTGATGTATTATAATATCCCAGAGTTACCTTCCTTCATTTTTCACCGATTCATTACAATCTCCCAGAGCAGGGAGGAAGATAACTGTTATCTACGTCCCTGCCCAGAGTTAGGCTACTGTCCTTATTTTTCACTGATTCATTATAATCTTCCAGAGTTATCGCCCTTCGTTTCACTCAATCGGCGGTCACTGGTTATGTCTTAAAACCTACAATTTCTGTCTCTGAAACGTTTATTTAACGTCAATATTCACGTTAATTATGATGCATTATGAATGTGTAATATGAGTCAAATTTAAATCACAGACATAGTGTATATGAGTAAATAGCTGCAATAGATGCAGAATTACGTTTGTATATGTCAGAACTTAATTTAAGTTCACTGTCCATAGGTGGAAGATTATGTAACCAACAGGTATCTGTAGTTTTCATGGACCAATAATTCGAACTGGTGCGTGTCGTAGTGTTTTCAGACCGATTGTCAGGACGAACATCGGCTTTAAAGTTAATCTATTGGCTGACCTAGCGAATAAGGCAATGCATTTACTCGGTATTAAATTTTCAGATAAACGCATCATAAAACAACAATAACAACAACAACAAAATGTGGTATATATTTAGCATAACGTTGTTTCAGATGACAAAATACTTTTTTAAAAAGTCTGTCTTTGTCATGGTTTTATTTATTTACAAATTGGCACAGATGTTTAAACTGCAAGGCCAGGCGCTCACAACTCCTCATCTTCCTGTTTGTGTTCCTACTACGGAGGGAGACGAGCACCAGAGGTATCACCGCCTGGAACAAAGGACACGACATCTCTGGACCTAGATAGGTTGGCAGTTCATCATGTACTTATCTGTCGTCTCCATGACGTGTTCTTCCAGTTAGATAGACATGATGATGATGATGATGATGATGATGATGATGATGATGATGATGATGGTGATGATGATGATGATGATATCGACGACGAATATGATGATGAGGAGGATGCTGATGATGATGATGATAACGACGACGAATATGATGATGATCAGGAGGATGGTGAAGGTGATGATGATAACGTCGACGAATATGATGATGTGATGATGATGATTAAGATGATGGTGATGATGGTGATGATGATGATGATGATATGTTGATGATGATAATGACGACAACTTTGATGATGATGATAACGACGACGATTATGATGATGATGGTGATGATGGTAATGACGACGAATATGATGATGATGATGATGGTGATGATGATGATGATGATGATGATGATGATGATGGTAACGACGACGATGATGATGATGATGATGAATATGATGATGATGATGATGATGATGATGATGATGATGATGATGATGATGATGATGATGATAACGACGACAACTATGATGATGATGATGATGATTTATAATGTAAATAAACAAATCATGAGAGAATGGCCATGATAAGAGAATTGTGTGATAGCATGATATGGCTTTACGTTGTCAACATTGCGATGATTGTTTATGAAGAGATTAAATGATGCTTATGTTGATAATAAAAGATCATGTAACAAGAAAAAACGTTAATGTGATGATATGAACTTAAACAAAGCATTAAATTTTCCGAATCGGTTCTCGTGGGATATTGCACTGGTTTCACTTACGGTGCATATAGAAAATCTCCAATTCGACCTGTTGTCACTTCTCACCTTTACGTCACATTACTTTCTACCTAAGTGTATCTCTGTGGAACGTGATAGTGTAGACCACGGTGGCTTGAAACGGATAAATGTATTGTGTTCGAACGAAATGTTATTACGCGCTAACACAATATTATCACCTGTTCTTGTGATGAATTTTTGGAAAGCCGAGAAAATGTTTTGGAGAAATCTTGTTGCACTTCTTTTATCCCTACCTGCGTCAGAATATGTGTAATAATAAATTATCATTTTGGCTTGTTTTTCAGTATAACATTTATTCTTTGTTGTTTTCATGGCGACTATCTTTCCAGCAAATCCTTTTTTTTAAATACAGTAGAATGATACTTTAAGGGCTCAAAACTCCATTACAAAAAAAATGTTTAAATTCTATATTTGACAATGTTCTGAAATACAATTTTTATGAAGACTTCAGAAAACAATGTGATGACTATGTTCATAATTAAAAAAATTAGGGTGTCGATGCTTATTTTTTTCCCATATTATTTATCCCCCCCTCCCTTTTTTGCAGTTTCTTACGCAAATTATTTTTCTAAATTTGCGAAAAATTGTTTCAGCACTCATAGTTGGCTGCTTGAAGTACAACTATGAATAACAAAGTACTCAAAAGCGTAAGAGATGTCACGTTGGAATTCATTTACTATTTCACGATATTCCACTTCCCGTCAAATTTGAGTGCCATACCTCCTCAAGTGAACTTATCACTAACGCAGTGTAGATATTAACATTATACATATATTCATAGCATACATAGATATTTTGGACATTTTACACAATTGACAAAAGAAGACAATTTTTAACACGTGCCCTATTCGGGTATCGGACTCACGATCTGCGGTACAAAATGCCCTTGCTAATCAATTCTATAATTGCCTAACTATTACACCGCAACGACATCCTAACATTTGTAATACTTTTTGTATCGTACATAAAAAGATATATGAAGCTTACACATGTAGGTTAATATATCAATTATTGCAATTTTCGAGTAATGACATTCTTAATTGAGATTAATTTCATCGCATCAATTCTAATAATTAGTACCCGCCCTGTCTCTTAAAACATGTTAATCATTATGGCTGAGCTATAACAACACGTCAAAACATGAAACTAGTCAGGAATATGCAACTTGTAAGTGTTAAGTACGTTTTAAGGACACATTATAATAATCCACAACAAATTAAACGTTGATTCCGTGGAAACGGGAAGTCGAGCTGGGACAAGTGTAATTCTCAAACGTTTCCATGGTCGGTAAGGTAAACATTTAAAATTAATTGAATTCAATTTTAATTTAAAAACAAACAAACAAACAAACAAACAAGTTTGACTTTTGTGTAAGTGTAATCTTCAAGAACATGTTTAGTGACATCATATATAGATATATATTTATAAGATTGTACAAAAGACACGCAAGTAAATGCATTAAAGTTAGATACAGTTAAGTCAAACGATTAATTAAACAAATTATTTGGAATGTTTCTATCACGAAAATCGCAAGAGAATTCCCAATATAATTCATGAAGTGCCACCGGCTTTCCTTGTATCCATATGACGAATACCCGTGAAGCTTCATCAATGATAACGACCATGGCTATCCTATCTCGATAGTGTAATGGTTAAATACACTAATTCGTGCAATAAGTGAAAGACATACAATTTCAAAAAAAGAAGAAGAATTGGCGATATTAAATCATATGCCGATGTAGCAATTGGCACTTTTAATTTTCTGAAGTATTGTACCGACAGGTATGGCTACACACGGTCAGAATTAACATTTGAATTTGAGGCCAAGGGGCAGTTGAAATACAT